AGAAGGAACGGGATGAGTACCTCGCGAAGGCGGCTAGTGGCGATATTCCCATGCCCCAGGAATCTTCTCAGTGCATCCTTTGTTCTCTGATATTTCCTTTCGCCTAACGGTTTGATCTTCTTGCAGGCAACTCCTCGAGGATATGCGCATGAAATTCGAGAAGGATATCCTAGAACTACAGGAGGAGATACCGGTCTCAGCCGTGATGGTCTTACTCGTCCCAGACAATGGGTACATCGACATGAACAACATGTAGGTTCATTAATATGCCTTATAATCTTCCTTTCGGCCATTGACACTTGAAAGTGCGTCCGTTCCCGTCGAAGGGCACCCATGCTTCCCATCATGGTTTGAGCAGCTTACTGAATTCAACCAAAACCGGTGGTTGTCAATCATGGCGGCGTATGGTCAGCAGATGTGGGACGAGCCAAGAAGCGAGTTCCTCTTTGGAGGCGAGTGCTAGATCCTGCTCGACGAATGAAGTACTCATTATCTTTAGATTCCACCGATGCAATCAATCTTGAACCGAGGAAGGACCACACAGTCAAGCGTCGGCCTGGCAAAGCCTCTCACTCAAAGGTGCGCATGAAGATGAAGACCAATGATTTGCCTTTGAAGATTGCAGATTTCGATATCAAGCACGGGATGGGTCGGCTTTACCTGCAAAATTTGGTGAGAATCGGACTAAAAGAACTTTGGCGTATGTACTTCTTTTGCTTCATTGGTATCATTCTGATAACTCTGTAGGCGCCTCTGGATGGCCTGGAGAGCCTTCCTGGAGAAATATCGCGCTCAATAGAGATAAATATTGGCCCCAAGATACTCCCCAATGGTGGGAAACCGGGGATCCGAGCAAAATCACTATAGACAGTTGCTACAAGATGCTGAACAATATGATGGACGGCGTCAAGGGTACGATTCCGGAGGAGGAGATAATTCGATACCTTCAGTACAACCCCGAGCTTGTCAACACCAAGTCTGGTGCAAAGCCATCCAGAACGAAGAATGCCGTAGAAACTGTTGACATTCCTGAAGGAAATACGGAGAATCCAACAGAGGAGGATAACACTGAGAGTTTGACAGAGAGAAAGGACGGGAAGGGTGCAACGGGGAACCAGCGTTCTTCTGAGGAGATGTTTGGAGATCGCTCGAGCGCAAAGGACCAATCCGCGCATACCGCTAGTCACGACTCCACCTCCGGAACGGCCACCTGCGTTCAACCATCTTCTAGTGAGAGAAATTGGTGGGAGGAAGGCGCGAAGCACAATTCTTCTACAGGAGAGACTGTCCTAGACCGCGTCACGCAGAGCGTGGAACAATCTCTCTTGGATGGGAACTCCAACAACCACGGGTCTCCTATCAACACGATGCATTCATCCCATGAACCAGAAGCAGATCAATTGCGTGTATGTGCCCCATATATCGATAGATGCGCGCACTTACCCTTTTAGGTCACACAGGAAGATCGGACGGAATCCCAAGTCGATGTTCTGGCTTCTAACGAGATGAATCATGACCCTAAGGTTGAAAAGGGGTCTTTGGGTCGATTAACGAAGAAAAAGAGGAACGAAAGTGCTAAACAAGGTAATGCAAAGTCTGTGACCTCCCGCAAGAGAACCGTCGAAGGTGAAGACAGTGTCGAGCCGCCAATGAAACGGCAGAAATTGGGCAATAATCCGAATCAGCCTCATGATGTAAATAAGCAAACGGTTCGTAGATAGCCTCCCCAGGCAGGGCTACCCGGGAAGTGTTGAGTGGGGTTCGTCACCTTCCTCGTCGGTGTTACATATTCGTAGTGATGTCTCACTTGTATCATATGAATTTATCAATTATATTGCACTTTGCTGCTTAGAACAATTGCTTAGTAATGTTGCACAAGCTGTTAGGCCCCAATTTGACGGTAAGACAAGAGTGAAAACTCGTGAGGAGTATACCCTCGCGTTCCGCGCTCTTATATAGCCCAGAGAAGGTAAATAATGACTAATACCAGCTTGAACTGTTTACCCTACTGTTTAGCTAATAAGACCCCGACTAAGATAACGAAAATTCTCGATTATAAAACAACAGAGGGTATCGCAGAGCTACAAGAAGAGATAACGATCTCGGCCGTGATGGTCCTACTCACCCAGATGATAGATGTTATTATGCTTTTCCATCTCACAGTCTACCCTTCATTGAACAGTCTCATGGACGAGGATACAATAAGGAGTTAAATGAGGAATAGCATGCATACAAAGTTTATGGCCATGTTGAAAATAATTCCGGTTCGAATTTGCTATAAAGCTCTATGGGAGGCCTTCTAGATGCACAGTACTCTGAGAATACTTGCTCTAAGACAGAAACACTTAATGAAACCCGATTCGTTATTTCCAATTTTCGGAGAGACGGGAAGAATGGCCTATTTGAATCAAGACACTCGGAGAACGACCAGAGAATCCGACCGAGATTGATCCCCTCTATCACCAGTCTTTTGAGATTTGTATATCCTTGAATTTCCATAATAAAAGATTCATCAACCAAGACATTTAAGAGGACCAGACACTCTAAGTTTAATAGTCTTGGGGAGAAGAAGACATCCGGAGTGAGATCTGTGCCAATATCCTGATATCTGTAGGTCATTTCGTCTATCTCCAAATGCTTCAACTGTGGTACTTGGAAAATCCTTTGTAGTGGCGCCTCAAGGTTCGTCTCTTTTAGACAAAGGGTCACCAAATCAGGCAGAAAATGTGGGTCTTGATTCTCGATTTTTTCAATGGAAAATACCATATTTCGGAGTGATAGAGTAGTGAGCCTGATGGGAATCATTGTCAGTGACTCCAGGCCGAATGACTCGTTCCACCAGATTTTGAGGTTTTTTAAGTTCTGTAGATTGAATGCATTAAGAGTTCCTTGGTCTCCATAAAGCTCCAGTGACCTTAGTTGTGGTACAGAGATATTTGTTCCGTAGAAAATTTCTTCAGATTCTAAGAGGATAGGAATAAGTCACTTTAACGGGATGTATGTAGACGATACTGACTAAGGTCCAGTTTTAAATCAATAGCACGCTTTATCAAACTATGTTCAAGCACAGAACTCATGTCGCCGACGTATGAATCAATGGTAATTGCCAGCTGTCTCCGATTAACTCGATACACTAGTTCCATTAAATTCACAACCTCATAGAAAGGAAGTCCTTTCAAGGTCAGGCGTTTCATTTGCCTCAGGTCGAGGCTCTCCAAAGCTGGGAGCTCTTTCGTGTTATGGATGAAGAGCTGTAGTGAACGAATAGGTATTTTATGGGTGCCTATGAATCTTATCATATCAGATCGAGGTCTCCAGTCTGTTGTATCAATCTGGAGGTCGAGAGCCGCTGAGTTGCCGTGAGTCAAAGCGAATTGAAGTTGCTCGATTGTTGAGCAATGGTACCCATTCTACGAGGAGTCAGTAATATACAGAGACTTGAGTAGAATGGAGCTTACTGGAGAGTTATATTTGCTTGAAGGAATGAGTTGAAGTTTGTTCCAAAAGATTGGTGTCCCGATCACAATATTGCGAATAGTACCACAAATATTCATTAACACATGATAATGTATGCCAATGTCCAGACATAGATGTGTGATCTCTGTGAGAATCTCGGTTGGTAGGC